TCTCTCTCTCTCTCTCTCTCTCTCTCTCTCTCTCTCTCTCTCTCTCTCTCTCTCTCTCTGTGTGTGTGTGGCTGGCTGGTTGTCCCAACTTGTCCGGCTGTCTGTCTGTTTGTCTGTCTCTCTCTTTCACACACACACAATCATTCTTTCCTTTGTCTAGCTTTCCAGCCCGGGCGCCCGGGGTACCCCAACGTGCCCGGAATGGGGCCCGGGGCGCCTGGCCGGGCGAACCCCCCGAGCAGGCACCCGTGCCCCTCTCGCAGCGAGGAAGAAGAAGCCTCAAAAACATTTTCGCGCCGCCGCCCTATTCCAAACATGCCAACTTCATTTTCGGCGGTCGGTGCGTTTTTTGCTGAGGTCCGATAGGCCCTGTTTTGCAGGTTTTTTTTTTTGGATTCTGGCCGTTGATCTGCATCGATCGACAGCGCGCACTGATCCAGGATTCAAATTTGAATCCTGGGCTTCTCCTTCGTTTCTCCTTCTTCGTCTTCTTCTTTCTTCTTTCTTCTTTTTCTTTTTCTTGTTCTGCGTTTCTTCTTCTTTTTCTTCTTCTTTGCCTCCCTCTTCCCTTCTCTGACGTGGCGGTCCTCCCTCCTCGCACCCCTGCCATCACCTCGCCACCTTCCTCCTCCCTTCTCCATTCTCCCTTCTCCCTCCCTCTCTGACGTGGTGCTCCTCTGTCCTGTATCCCTCCTCTGACGTGGCGCTTCTCCCCCTCCTCCTTTTGACTTGGCGCTTCTTCGTCCTCCCTCCTCCCTCTGACGTGGCGCTCCACCACAGGTGGGACACAGCAGCTGCTGTATCCCCCACCCCGCAAACGGACAGCTGATGTATGTATGTATGTACTCTTTCAAGATTTCTTCTAAGTACTTTTTGTGTTCTGAATGAGCGCCTTTAACAAGTGCTAAACAGTCGGTGGTCGATTGTTTAGAGTGCCTGAATGACTCTTAGGGGTGGCGCTCTGTCTGTGTGATGTCTGTGGTGCGAATCGTCTATGGGTGATGGGAGATATCTGGTCGGAGTGGCTTCCTGGCTCAGCGGGTGGTGGGAACCAACAGTCTGCGGGGTTCACTCCTGATGCGAGTAGCTGATGTGCCAATTTGCTCCATGTTGGATGTGTAGACTGCCTCGTCTGCACTCCACCGCTGCCTTTGCTGCATGTCCCGTTTGCTTCGCATGCCGTCCTTTGCAGCTGTGTTCACTGTGTGGTGTGATTGTGTTGTTGGTGTTGTTGCCTTGTGCTTCGCTGCACTGCTGCCTTGCCGCCCATCCGCGTGCCTTGCCCGCATCCTTCACTTGTGTGCCGTGTAGTTTGGCTGCTTTGTTGGTGTTGCCTTGTGCTTCACTGTGCTGTTGCCGTGCTTCTGCTTCGTCGTCCGCTTGCACTGTCGTTCGTGTAGTTAGCTCTGGTGTTGTGCAGTTGGGTTGCTCTGTCAGCATTGCCTGGTGCTTTGCCAAGCTGTTGCCTGCTAGCACTGTGTTCCGCTTGTGGACAGTCTGCTTTCAACGAGGGTCAAAAGGGTTCATGACCCAAAGCGTCAATACGGGGATTCCGTAGATTGTCGAGGGTTTAGCCTCCTGATGAGTCGGTGCAACTCCGACGAAACAATCTTTCATTTTCGTCATCTTCTTCTTCTTCTTCTTCTTCTTCTTCTTCTTCTTCTTCTTCTTCAAGGCATTCCTCGATGCAGACCCCAAATTCGAATTTCAGGGTCAAGGTCCTAGGCGAAGGGAGGCCAAGTCGGTCAGTTTCAGAAGAGTCACAGTCGGGTACCTTAGGGGTCAAGTCCGACAGGCACCCGGTGAACAGTGACATCCCAAAGGCAAAGGTTGTATTCTATAAGCAAAAGTCACGTCTCACATTGAAAAGTCATATTGCAAAGTCATATTCCACAGGCAAAGGACACTTCTCCCGGCAAAAGTCAAAAGTCACATCCCACAGGCAAATGTCAAAAGTCATATTGCAAAGTCATATCCCACAGTCAAAAGTCACATCCCAGAGGCAAGAGTCACATCCCACAGTCAAAAGTCATGTTCCACAGATGAAAAGTTGTGACTCACAGACCCAAGCAGCAGCACACCAATGAAAATTCGGGAAAGTACACTAGGCCTTGACATTGTGAAGCAAGCAGGCCGTGGGCATGTGGTATCGGCCGGGTCCAAGTCAAGCCAAAGGAAGCAGAGGCTGGGACGAGCTGAGGCTCAGTCCAAGTCAATATAAGGACTGGCCAGCCACAATTTCGAACAGATGGCTCATTCGTGAGAAGTGTGGAAGTGCTGCTGAAGCGCTTGTGCGCTATCTGCGAGTAGCATGCGCGCGAGAGCCCTGCTGGGCAGCGCTGCACTGAGAGGGAAGGTGGCCATAGCCGCATAGCTAGTGATAGGAGACAGAGCTGAGTAGCAGCGGATGTATTCAGAGTCAAGATCCTCCAGTAGAGAGAGAGAGGGAGAGAAAAGTAGAGGGAGAGAGTAAGTGCATGCATGAAGAAGAGAGAGAGAGAGAGAGAGAGAGAGAGAGAGAGAGAGAGAGAG